ATGGAATGGACAAGAACTCCAGTGACAGGTGTCCTTAGAAGAGACAGAAAAAGAGAAGACACACAGATACAGGGAGGAGGCCGTGTGCAGACGGAGGCAGAGACAGGAGACGTGTCCACAAGCCAAGGGACACCAAGGATGCTGGTGGCCACCAGAACCTGGAGGAAGCAAGGAAAGATTCTCCTTTAGAGACCTCCCGGGGAACACGGCCTGCATACAGCTTCATTTCAGATTTCTGGCTCCAGAGCTGGGGGAGAATACATTTCTGTTGTTTGAAGCCAGGTTTGTGGTCATTTGTTGCAGCAGCCCTGGGAAACGAATGTCCTCCACTCCCAATTTTGGTGAGTTACATAATTGTTTGGATGTGGTTACTTTTTCTAACTGTTCTATTCTACTCTGTAACCAGGATTCCCACAGATGTATATTTGTTCCATATTTAAGTAAATTAAATAAACCACATAAGCTCTTTACATTGACTCATCTCTTGGTTGGATTAATTTGATTATCCATTTTCTTCCTAAAACGACTTACAAACTCTGTTCTCCCTGTATTGTCCCGTGGTTAAGAATGTCTGCTGTGAGCAGTGGCTGCCTGGAGGTGGGAGGGCGGAGATTCCCTGGGAGGGAGCAGGAAGGAGCTTTCTGGGGGCAGGGTTGTGTATGCTCTGTATCTGGAAAGGAGTCTGGGTTCCACAGGCATGTGCGTCTATCAAACCCTTTGAGGATGCACTTCCAGATTTAAGATTGCATTGTACGCAAATTGTACTTTGAGGTGGAAAAAAACCACAGTTAACCCATCTACTCAATGATGCACAAGCTGCAGTGTCCAAGGGGCAGTGTGCTGATGTCTGCACCTTATGTTGAAATGCATCAAGAATGGGATGGGTTGATGGATGCGTGATTGGTTAGATGGACAGATACCCAATGACACAGACACAATGCAATATCAAGACTTGGAGAGGTGGTAAGAATATGAGTCTTCGCCTAAACATCTTTCACCTTTGCAATAAGTTCAAAAATTTTATAGTGAAACATTGGGAGGAATGCTCCCTCAATTGGTCACCTAGGTAAAGTTCATTTTATTTTCAACACCTGCACTAAGGGAATTTTAGTGACATAAAAGATTAGACAAAATGTGTGGTTGGTTGTTCTGGATTTGCATTAAAATTATTGAGTTTCGGGGCCGGCCCCATAGCCTAGTGGTTAAGTTCCTGCGCTCCACTTCCGTGGCCCAGGATTTGGATCCTGGGAGCTGACATGGCACCGCTCATTAGGCCATGTTGAGGCGGCGTCTCACATGCCACAACTAGAAGGACCCACAACTAAAATATACAACTATGTACTGGGGGGATTTGGGGAGAAAAAAAAGCAGGAAAACTATTGAGTCTTTCTGGGGAAGAGTGGAGAAAAAGTACTTAGCTTAGAGTGTGTTGTTCCTAAGAATCTGAATGAGCGTGAGTGTAAATGTGGATGAGAGTGGAGAGTTTCCAAAATGCAAAGCCGAATTGCCCCTCAGCATGGGCCTCCTGGCCTGGCAGCAGCCACTCAAGGGCCAGCCCGGGGACACAGGCCCACTCTGGGCTTCGCTTGGGTCAGGAGAGAAATGCCCCTGCCCTCCTGATCACTCCCCACCCCCACCCAGCAGGATCTTCCCTCTGACTCCTGGGCCCAAGGAATCAGATACGGTCACGCGGAGGAGACAGCTCCCCGACTTGGCCCCAGAGTCTCAGCCAGGCCAGACCTGCCCCAAGACCCGAGCCAGGGACACAGTTTCCAGCATCCAAGTGAGGCTGGGGCTTCTCCCAGAGGGCTGCAGGGAGACCCTGGCCAGCAGTGAGTGGGCTGGGGATGGAGGCCTTCTTGTGTGCTGTGCCTCAGCCTGCCGAGCACAGAGAGGTCTCCCTGAGCCCCACACCCAGACAGCAGGGAGACCAGGGGTGCCAGTGCTGACCCAACCCGGACAAACCAGCCAGCCCAGGGCCTGCCTCTGCTGGGAGGACAAGGCCCCATTGTTCCCCTCCAGGCCGAATGAGGTCTGGAGCACAGCTGTGGAGGGGATTAGGGCCTTGTAAATGCTCAGTAAATCCTCTTGTGGGGAGCCCTGATCCCGAGGGACAAAGGGTCTGTGTTGAGTCTCTGGAGCAGACTCAGGGCCAGCACTGGGCCAGGGTGGATGAGGGGGCAGGGCTTCCCCTGGATCAGTGCCTCCTCCACAAGAGTGCATGAGCGTATGCGTGTTGTAGGGGGACAGGGGGCTTGTGCAAGCTGCTGTATGCAAGGATAGCTGGGCATGTGTGTGTTTCTGAGAGTGCACACGTGTGCGAGGACGTGGTGCACATGTGCATTTCCAGCCCACGTGTGTGCACGTGCATGCATTGTCACCATGCTTGTACACTCTGAAAATGTGTCTCCTGTGTCCCTTAGACATGTCCTGTCCTCCCGCCCGGTCCAGGCTGCCAACTGTCTTCTCCTCCAACTCGCACCCAAGACGTGCATCCTGGAGCCCTGGCACAGAGAGATCCTCCTTCTGGGCGCCAAACCCTGCCAGCCTGGAGCTGGAGAGAAGGCACGTGAATTGGCAGCAGTAGCCACACTCGTGCCCTGAGGCTGGGCTGGGACAGGAACATGGGCCCCTTTATGTGGCCTGTCCCCTTTCTCCAGAGCTATGCTTGTGAGGTCAGGGCCTCTCGGCCTCCTCCCCACAGGAGGGTCCTGGGGCCTTGAGAGGGGAGCTGCTGTGCCTCCCTGGCCTAGCTTCTGCTGCATTTGGGGGCCTGAGGGCTGCTGGGAGGGGTGAGGAGCATCGGGAGGACAGGAGGGGGCCCTCACCTTGGCAACAAGGATGGGGTCAGTGGGGACCTGCACCCTGAGGAGCCCTTCCAGGGAGGCCAGTGCAGGGCCAGGAGGAAGGGCATGGTTGTCAGGACCAAGCGCCTCTCTGCTCTGGTCTCCCTGAAAGGCTAGTTGTTCAACGGAGCCCCCTCACCCACCCATGAAGCCAGCACCATGGACAGGGCTGCGTCTGTGCCAGGGAAGGGAACAGGCACCCAACAGGGAGCAGCCGAAGCCCACTTGTGGCTGAAGGGCCAGAGAGCACACGTTTTAGGTTTTATGGGTCAAAGAGTCTGTCACAACTACTCAGCTCTGCCCTTGTAGCGTGAGAGCAGCCCCAGAAGACATGGGCGTGGCTTTACCCAGAACACTTATTTATGGGCGATGGCACTAGATTTCATAGCATCCTCCTCTGTCACTTTGAAGTTTTCCTAACCATTGAAAAATGTAACAAGTGTTCTTAGCTCTCAGGCTGAGCAAAAGCAGACGGAGGGCACGACTTGGCCTGCGGGCCGTGCTTTGCTGGGCTCTGGCCTGGTTACCTGGTGGAAGTAATGGAGGTGCCAGCTAGACTTGGCCTCCAGCCACCCCCAGTCCTCCCAGCCCTGCTATCCCAATGAGACCAGTGTTCCCAGTTCCTGGTGAGCCAGCACTTCCGGGGTGAGTCTGCACACACGAGGTCCTCCTGTGCACCCCTTTTCTTTTGTAACCAGATGGAGCATTCTAAACCCTCCAGTCCACACTGGCCCTGTCTCCTTGGGCAATGTACCAGAGCAGCAGGCATCCCTGTGTAGTATCCCATGGTAGCAATGACTGTCATTTCTGCAATGGGTCCCCTTTAGATGGACAAGTCTGTTGTTTCTAAGCTTCTGTGATTTCAAAGGATGTTGCAAGTGATAGCCTTGCACACCTGCCCACAGAGAACAAAGTCTTAGGCGTCCAGGCACTGAGATGGCGAAGGATCGTGCTGAATTCCTGTACCGCCCCAGGACTAGGTTCTACTGTTATCCCATATATTGGATGAAACAATCAAAGTGCACAGAGGTGACGCAGGTCCCCAGATCACTTGCCTCGTCAGTAGGGAAGATGAGATTGGGCTCCGATTTGGCTCCAGTGCTGACATTCATATTCACCCCCTATGGTGACGATTGTGAGCCTGTGGTCCTTCCCAAAGATCCAGGGGACATGCGGGCAGCCTTAGCTCCAGCCTGACACAGAAAGCCTGGACACGCTCCACCAGAAGCATCTGCAGGATGGAGCCCCTGAGAAGCAGCCTGTCACCTCCCAGATAAAGTCTGATCACGGCCTGGCCCCGGCGCTCTGGGAAGGACTGGCCTGGAGAATCGCCCTCTCCCCTTCCTCTGTGCCTCCTGTCTCAGCACCATTGCTGTCCAATCTTCCCACAGCCCAGAGCTGGTCATCCCAGCTATGCCCAGACCCGGCATAGAGGGAAGGTCACAGACATCTCCAAGTGACAGACCACAGAAGGCCACCACCTGGGGTGTCTTTTCCATGTGGTGCCAGGCACACTGGACTGGATTGCCCACTCTGGCTTTCTGAGGGTCAGTGGGGAGCTTGCCTGGGCTCCCCAAAGCCTGTGGGACACTAGGCTCTGCCCAGGCCTCAGTGAGGTCCTGAAACTAGTTCTGCAGGAGGCAGGAGCCCTGGGGCCCACAGAGTTTCCCTGGGCGTCTGACTTACAGCCCCTCCATGGGGTTGACCTGGCTGGCCAAGCTGGGAAGGGCTCTCAGCAAACCTCCTTTCCTCTGAGACCAAGATCTAGTCCAGGTGCTGAGGAGAGAGACTCAGAGGTGACAGTGAAATATCTGTCACTGTCCCATCTTGTTTGTGCAGGCGATGGGGCCAAGACAACAAACACAGCAGGTCCGGGAACCTCCCCCAAGGATGGCTCTGGGGATTCCCCAGGAAGAGTCCTCACCTCCCAGCTCCTTCCTGTCCCCTGGTGCCCCTGCTCCTTCCTTCTGGATGGGGGCCCACAGGCCTCAGGAGGGTATAAAGGGCCGTGCAGAGGACGGTCAGGCACAACCAGACTGCCCAGCGCCAGGACTGTCCTGTCCCGGTAAGACGGGGCTCCTCCTCCATGGATGGGGTTGGCGAGGTCAGGTGGGGTCCCTCTTTGAGAGTCGGATGGGCTGTCCTCCTCTCTGCAGGAGCCTTGGGACCCTCCAGCCAGAAGCCATGCTGCTGTGGCTGACCCTCGCCCTCCTGTGGAGCACCACCTGCTGGGCAGGGCGTAAGTCTGGCTGGGTCGGCCCCCTCCAGCTCATCCCTCTGGTGGCCACCCTCCCCTCTCTGCATCCCGGAGACCCAGGGTCTGGGCCCTGCCCTGGTCACAGACTAACTCTACTCTAGTCTCAGGACTGTCCCATCTGGTGGAGGGGCCGTGTCCAGAGAGGGGCAGAGATAGCCTGCATGTCACTGTGTGATTTATTTTCTCTCCCCACCTGCTTCTTTCATCATCTAGAGATTTATGGGCTCGGAGGAGGCCAGTATTTCAGTACTACTCCAGACTATGACAATGACATCACGGGGATTCGGGTGTCTGTAGGGTCTGTCTTGGGCCTGATTAAGAGGTGAGTAGGAGCCGGGCCATGAGCTCTAAGGCTGTGTCCCACTCATGCCAAGTCTTGGGAACATGGGGATGGGGCTAAGCGCCTCTTCTCCCAACATCTTTGCTGGGTATTAATGACTCTTTGAGGCCAGTTAGGTCCTTGGAAACATGGAGCCACCAGCCATCACCTTTCCCTTCGTCCCTTTTCCTCAGCTGCCTCCTCTCCCGCACAGCAGTCCTTTCAGTCCAGGTTAGGTCAGAGAGGAAAGGAAGTGAGGGTCAGAGTGGACCACTGACTGAACACAAGTCATCAGGAGTATGTAAAGGCAGAAAGCCCAGGGCTGCTCCCCTAATGTTGGGGTGGTGTCCTTGTTCAAGGCCTGGGGCAGATCTTGGCTCTGCACTGACAGGGTCCCGGGGACCTGTGAAAGGGAGTGGGGCAGAACAGTCAGCACCAAAGAGGACAGATTGTGGGTAGAGTGAGGGGAGGCGGGGAGGCCATGGGAGAGGCACCAAAGTGGGGCAAGGATACAGAGAAGGCCAGATGGGTGGAACTAGTGGGACTCCCCAGGTGAGTGTGGGGAGTCACCTGCTTCTCAAAACTGTGTCCTGGGCAGCCTGACTCAGGCTCAGAAAGTCCAAGCTGGGGCTGAGGACAGCTCCCCGCTCAGAGTCACGACAGAGGCACCTCGTGAGGGTCACGGGGACTGGGCACTGCTCCGAGCTCTCCTTTCGGATGATCCTTGAATGCTCCAACAGTCACTCTCATTTGGCAGATGAAGAAACTGAGGCCCAGAGAGGCTGGGTAATGAACCCAAGAGCCCAAAGGCGGCAGAGCAGAGGTTTGAGACCAGCATGTCTGTGTCAGAACCCAGATACATGTGCCTGCTCTCTGGTGGCCAGGGAGGGGTGGCTCGGGGACAGAGGACGTGCGGAGTGGTGAGTCTCCTGGGCACCGGGCATCCAAAGCTCCCCCTTTCTCCCAGCATCCAGCTGAGACATGGATCCTTCTGGAGTGAAAGACACGGTGCAGAAGGTGGGAAGACCCAGGAATTCCTGCTGCGGCCGGGTGAACACATTATAGCCATCCTTGGCTCGTACAAGGGTTACCTCCGGTACCTGGTCGTATACACCGACCAAGGGCGCTCGGCCGCATTTGGGCGAGAAGAGGGTAACAGCTTCACTGCCTTCCCAGACCAACCATGGAGGGTGCTCACGGGAATCTTTGGCCACCATAAGCTCCTCGGCATCACGAGCATCGGCTTTCAGTGGGATGATCCTCGAGAGGAGCTGACCACTGTACGAACACCTACCCTCTCATACGCAGAGAAATGAGTGCTCCTGGGTCCCCGGGGATGGGGCACGGGTCACCCTGCTGAGGCGGTCTCACTGGTGTTGGGCTGATAGCACTGGGGTATCCGAGTCGGGTCCTGAATCAGAATCCACCAATAAATGCAGTTTCTGCAGGAACAGTGTGTCCAGGCGTGGTCCTTGGGTCTGGGGTACAACCCAAACCTTCTGAGCCTGTGGAGGGTGAGGCTCTGGGGCTGAGCTCAGAGATCTGAGCTGTGGGATGAGGCAGGAGGTGGGTCTGACACCACAGGCCTCCGCGATTCTGCCGAGGATGCGGGACATGCCCGAGCAGACCCTGGGCTGATCCCACAATCTTTCAGGATTCTGGGCTCCAAGGATGCCCTGCCCTCAACTCCCCACTCCAAGCCCATCCAGCTGGCCTCTGCCAGCCCAGGCTCAGGTCCAGGCTTCCCGGAGTGTGCAAGGGGCTTCAGGGAAGCCACTCATTCATTCATGCAGTCAGTCAGTCACTTCCTCACTCACTCAGCACACAGTTGCCAAGGCCTCACCCACACCAGGCTCTCCTGGGCACTGAGGGTGTAAAGAAGAAGATGCTGGGTGTCCAGCTGAAGGGCACCCCAGGGGACAGAGGCAGAAGCAGACGGAGACTGTTGGTTGTGGCGTCTGCACTGATGGGGACACAGGCAGGGTGTTGTGCAGAGGCACCTGCCCAGAGGTGGGGAGGTGGGGTGTGCCTCAGGGAAGCCTTCCTGGAGGAGGCAACGTCTGACTAAGTCCTAAAGGCTGCGTGAGAAGTGGCCAGGTGGAGACAAGGGGAGGAGGGCATCCCAGGGGAGGGGTCAACATGGGCCAAGGCCAGAGCCAGAGATAGCCACGGACTGGGCCACTCCATGTGTGTGAATTTGTTATAGAAGCATCGGGAAACAAATGTAGCTCCAGACCTTGCATGTTCTGTGTACCCCATCCCACACCTGGAAGCCCACGGCAGCAGTCGCCGAGGCCTGAGTCCCCGAGTCCTCCAGGGACCAGGCTCCAAACATTGGACCATGACCCACAGGAGAAACACACCGTACACTGCGACATGAGCACGCACGCGTCCAGAGAACTGCGACAGCCAAACTCTCAGGGATCCTGCCACGTGCAGCCTGTCCCCTGAACCCCTGCTCACAGCAGCCCCATGAGGACAGGACTGCCAGTATCCCCATTTGCAAAAGGAGGAAACTGAGGCACAGGGAGCACAGTGGCTTGGACTAGGTCACTCAGCAGGAATTGGCAGAGTTGGGGTTCCGTGTGACATGGTCTGGCTACAAAGTCCAGCTCAGAACCCAGACAGAGGCAAAGATTTCCCAGTAGGTCCTCATCTGTCTGCGTTTTTCTCCTCTCCACTTTTATTTTACTTTTATTTTAGTTTTAAGGGCTTGTTGAGAGCCGCTTCATGGTTCTCAGCCTGGATTCTCTGGGAACATTTCAGGAATCCATGAACTTGGATGGGGAAAAATTACCTCTTCATTTTCTTTTCTATTGGATTTTGTATTTCCTTCAAGTATACACGTGACCTCTTACACCCCATTAACAGAGCTTGCAACCTTGTCATATCAATTACACTTCAGTTGTTCCAGACATCCTGAAATCTGCACTCATCACTCCTTCACAATTGAGGGTGTTTTCAGACCTGCCTGTTCACCGGCCGATAACAAGAGCACCGGTGTTTGTAGAGCGCACGCAGGTGGAAACACTTGACCAGCCATCTGAGGCTGCTTTGAGGGGGCTCCTTTCTCCCTGTGTGGGGGTGAAGCCGTGGATGGGCAGGGGACTCTCATCCCAGCTTTGCAGCTGCTCTGGGAAGCCCAGGGCCAGGTCTGGTGCATAATTCCTTTCTTGGCCCGGCTTCTTTTTATATTTTTTAAAGATTGGCACCTGAGCTAACAACTGTTGCCAATCTTTTTTTTTCTTTCTTTCTGCTTTTTCTCCCCAAATCCCCCCATTATAGAGTTGCGTATTTTTTTTTAGTTGTGGGTCCTTCTAGTTGGGGCATGTGGGACACTGCCTCAGCATGGCCTGATGAGTGGAGCCATGTCCGCACCCAGGAGCCAGGTTTGCTCTGGTGAAACCCTGGGCCGCCGGAGCAGACAGCATGGACTTAACCACTTGGCCTCGGGGTAGGTTGCCCCTGGCTTCTTAAAAGGGAAATCTGTTCAGTCCTAGAGTTTCATGACCCCTTTCTCAGGTGCCCACCTCTCTTGGGACTGGCAGCTGCCGGGGGGACCTGCTTCCCAATGCCTCCTGGGGTGGCAGCAAGGATGGCCAGAAATGGGACAATGTTGACTTGAAGAGTGACAGCACTGATCCCCACAGCAGTCACTGCCTTGTGACCTGATCAGATAGGATGAGAGCAGGAGGGAGAGGACAGTGGGAAGAGGAGGGGGAGGTCAGAGGAAGGGGAGGAGGGCGAGCATGGCGCCAGCTCGGGTGCTGTTTGCAGACTCTCAGCGAAGCACAGTCCATGGCCCAGTGGATTCTCCTTGTGACAGTTCTCGGGATTTCCTTCAAGGCTCCCTGGCAAACACTGAGCGCATCCTCTGAGCCCAGCCCTCCTGGGGACCACGGAGACAGGCCGTGGTGGAGACGCTGCTCTTGTTCTCAGGACCTCGGGCCCTCACGATGCAATCCTCGCCTAGTGTACGACCCGGGACGCGTGAGCTGGGCTCCCGGACCACCCCCCTCGGTGACAAGAACCACGGGGGCCCTCGTGTGTGAACCTTTAGTCAACACGGTAGGGCATTCAGGGTCGCTCTGGCCTTGCCGGTTGGTAGCAGCCCGGGGTCACCTGGTCTCCGGTCCCGCCGCTGAGCGAGCGCACCTGGCTGGAGGAGGCCGGGCGCCGGCACCCAGGACCCGCTCAGAACCCCGCAGGGCCCGCCCCGGGCGCCACAGGCGACCCCGCTGAGACCTCCTTCCCCTCGTGGGCCGTCGGCTGCGCGGTCACCGCGGCGGGCCCCTGGGTGGACGGCTGCTCCGGGGCAAGTCCCTACTTGAAGCCGATGCGCGAGAGGCACAAGAGCCCGCGCTGGCCATTGGCGGACACGAGCTGCTGCCCTGGGGCGTGAGGCTGCGCGCTGAACCGCCTGCCCGCGGGGCGCGGGAACCTCGCCTCCCGCCCCCTGCTGGGGGTCCAGCGCAGGGGCCTGATGCAGGCGCGCGCTGCCGGCCACCGCGGTGATGCGCTCGCCCAGCCCGTCCACAGCAGGAACTCCTGCGCGCGGCCGCCGGGGGCTCCGTACCGTGGGCGCCACTGCTGCCCAAACCTCCGCTGGAGGCTGGGAGGGAGGTGCACTCGGCGGCCGGCCCCCACCTGTCCGACGTCTCTGCTCCATCCCGCCTCCCAGCTCTGCGGGCCCTGGGCTGGGAAGTCCGTCCTGCCTTCTACCCAATGCTGGGCTGGACTGGCAGCCCGCTTAACGCTCGGGAGTGGCCAGTTCTTTCCCTTATGTGTCAACTCTCCAGGCCTGGGGCTGCCCCAGTGGGACTTCTTCCGATTCAGGAGGTGCCCTTCTGTCTTCCAGACAGGGGCTTTGTCACCTGTCCTCAGACCAAGGTCACAGCTGCTCCCTCTTCCTTTGCCTCCAGAGTCTGGTTCCAGGTGTGGTCAGACTCTGCGTCCCCTGGCCGCTTCTGAGTCTGTTCTCACTTGTTTTAGTGGCCAGAGTGGACCACTGTGAGGTGGCTGGGGCAGAGGCTGCAGCCGAGGGTGCTCTGGACAGTGACCTGCTGCACCAGTGGGAAAAGAGTCTGTAAGACGGTGGGGCAGCTTTCCCACTGCGGCCCTCCTCCTGGGGCTGCATCTTCCCCAGAGTCTGCCCAGCTCACACTGTCCCCTCTCTCAGCCCCTCCTCCACTCCACCTGGAGTGAGGGGGAAGCAGCCACATTGAGACCCTCCCCCCTCACCTAAGCCCAGTGGACCAGAGGTGGACCGTGACCCAAGCTGGGCCCTCATTCTCAGGGCCAGAGGTGGGCAAGTCAGGCTCTGAGTGGGCCTGGTATTGTCATGTGTGCGTAAGGAGTCCTGGGGCAGCCGTGTCCCCTTAGTGGGAGTGGAACACCCTTGAACCAAGAACAGCAGAAGAAATGGAGAGGTGGCCTGATGGCTCCAGCCGGGCTCTAGTCCACTCTGGAGCCAGCTGCTTCCTGCTCTTACATTCCAAGACACACTGCAAGTAGGTTGCCAGATAATATGAAAGACACTCAGTTAAATTTGAATTTCAGAGAAACAGCAAATAATTTTTGAGTGTAACTATACATCAAACAATGCATTTTTTAAAGCATAACTATGTCCCAAATACTAATTTTTTTTTAGTATATCTGAAACACTGCACGATGCATACTTACACTAAGAAGAATGCGTGTGTATCTGACATTCAAATGTAACTGCGTGTACTGTATTTTTATGTGCTGAATTTGGCAAGCCTACCATACCAAGACACCTTGGGTGCTGCAGGAGAAGGAGAGGCCCCTGGAGGCAGAAGCTGGTGGGCGAGGTCAGGATGGGGCCTGTCGGGGAGACGGCCCTGGAGGACAGAGCAAAGGAGCAGTGGGGGAGACAGAGCTGCAGGTGACGAACCGGGGGAGACGCTGGTGGTCTTCCTAGCCTGAGCGGGTTTCTGCTGCTTACTACCCAGGGGCCCTAAGGCAGCCAGACAAACCCCAGACAGGGGATCCTCCAGACATCCCCATCCTGACACCGTGGGGATGGTCCTTGGGGAACTTCAAGCCCTTTTCAACAGCTTCGGTCAGGCCTGACCCCTGCCCTCCACCCTGTGTCATTCCCTCTCCCTCCAGCATCCTGGCCCTGGGTGGGACATCAGGCCAGGCCAGGGGAGGTTGAGTGTGAGGGCACAGGGGTGAGGTCGGGAGGAAGCAGAGGTGGGAGGCAGGGTCTGCTCTAGGGGCTCCGGGGGTTTGAAAGCATCCTCAGAGAAGCATCGCGGAGTTCGCACATTCGGGGACCATGTGGGGACCCAGCCCAGGGCCCCGGGTCTTACCCCTTGCCGAGGCCCGTTATCTCGATGATGACCCGATGGCCTGGGTCTCCCCTGCTCCACCCCCCTGATGTAGGGGTAGGAGCCGGGGCCCTGCGTCTCTGGAGGACGGTGTGTATCAGGAGAGAGGGAGCAGGAGGGGAGGCAGCAGCACAGCTCCTGGGCCCGAGCCCGCCGCTTCAAACGTCTGGTCCAGCGCTGCAGCGGGCAGGTGTGGAGGTCAGGGCTGCGTGCTGGGCTGGGACGGGAGGGGCCGGGATTGGTAGGGAGAGGCTGGGAGAGGCTGGGTCTTACCATGGGTGCCGCAGGCAGGACCTGAGAGGAGCAGGAGGGCCAGCAACAACAGCACGGCTTCCAGGCAGTGCCCAGGGACTTGGGCCTTCAATCATGAGGGGCGCGAACATGGAGAAAACTTGAGAGGAGTCTCTGGGAGGAGAAGTCAGGGGTGAGGGGTCGTGCCCCTGAGGCTGGGTGAGGGGAACTGAGGGAACCTTCTTTTCCTACAGGCTTCAAGGGCCAAATGAGACACAGCGTCCACGGCTGTTTCCCTGATGTACCACCTGCTCCGTCGCTCAGAAGGGCCCCTGCCTGACTGGATGCTCCGATGTCCCCATGTCACCCACTCAACACCAGGTTGACATAAGGGAAGCCATGCTATAGGAAAGAAACCATATTGTAACTTTGAATCATCTGATTAACTAACCCAGCTGGTTATGTGCCCTCCGGGAGGTGTTCGTGCTCTGTAGACGTTATGGCCTCTCCCAGCTGCTCTAAGTTGATAACTCTGTTCTTTCAAGTTCCTTAGGAATGTGGTGAGCCCTGGGCAGAGAGTCTATGCTGAGAGCCATCTTCAGTGACAACTGAAAGATCCGGGTATAGGGCCTTGCTCCAGTCTCAGATGCGTATCCAGTAAAACAAAAGACTATCAGGAACTAAGACCAGATGCCTCCTCCACCCGGAGACCAGCCCCCTGTATAACTGCCTGTAGTCCTTGTTCTGTAAGATGACCCTTTCCGATAAGAGTCAGCCATTTTCCCCCTTGCTAGCAAACTGTAATAAAGTCCTTTCTCTCTTACCACCTTCCCTCTCGACTATTGGCATATCTAGCCATGGGGAGATGACTCCTGCTTTTGGGCAATAACCCATCCTGAAATTCTTAATCAGTTTGGATCAAGGGGCCCCGCATTTTCATTTTACACTGGGACCCCAAAGTATGCAGCTGGTTGTGGAAGAGACCTTGTCCTGAGGGCCCTTCTGGTCCCTCCTTCCCCATTCAGTCTCCAGATGGTCAGCTCACAGCTCCCCTTCCCTCCCGGCCCCCAGCCCCTTCCTTACCTGCTCTGCCTGGTCTGAGCCCCTCAACCTGCCCCTTTATGCCCGGGAACTGCCCAGCCACGGCCACCACAAGTGGGACCTTGCAGGCTCAGCTCTTATCAAGGGCTCCAGCAAGAACCCGGGAACCCTCTGTCTGGGGTGACCTGGCAAGGTGGTGGGTGCTCAGTGTTCATGTTCCTGTCCACAGGCCACAGACAAGGGAGCCCCACAGACCAGCCAAGCCCACGGGACACAGGAAGAACCATTGAGGAAATGGGGAGGGATGGTCACCAAACAAGGCAAAGGACAGTCCAAAGCCAGGGACCAATGTTCACTCTGAGCACCCAAGAGGCACAGAGCCCTGGGCACGTTGGGAGCAGGAAATCAGCCAGGTCCTGCCCAAGAGGACCCCCAAGGGTTGGAGACACAGCAGCAACTGCCCCAAGAAGAAGGCCAGATGCAGAGGATGTGCAAGACAAGTCCCACCCTTTCCTCATTTGGGAGGTGCCTAAGCTCCTTTGGATTCCCTCCTGAAGAAGTCCGCTCCCCCTGCCCCGTGGAGGACTCACAACAACGCCCACTGGTGGAGCGCTCACTCGGGCCGGGCCCCTGACCAGTCCTCTTAACCTCGTCCTCACGCCACTGCTTGATTCCCACTAACAGCTGAAGAAGCCCAGACTCAGAGAGGTTCAGCACTTGCCTGAGGCCACTCAGGGAGATGTGGCCAAGGCCAGACTCCATCCCAGGGACGAGTCCCCAGCCTGCCCTCATCGCCACAGCCCACTGTCCCCACACCACGGAGATGCCAGAGAAGGGACACCCCCTGCCAGGGTCCTGGCATCCTGGGCTGCTCGGTGTCCCTTCAGCCAGCTTCCTCCCCTTTCTCATCCCTAGTTCTCTCAAAGGTCCCCCAGCTAACGGCCGCGTGCACAGCTCAGGTCATCCAATGCACCTGCCCAGAGACTCTACACGGAAGGACAGGCCACCCCCATTCATCCCCTTGGGACCTGCAGGGAGCTAACCTGAGCCCACAGCCCCCCAGCACTCCTAGCTGAGGGGAAGGGGCAGCGAGCCCTGGCAGGGTTGTGGGGTGAGGGGCAGCCTCCCCCAAAGCCTGGGAGAGACTCGTTACAGGTGCTGTGATGCAGGGTGGGGGAGGGAGGGGGACCTCCAGAGGAGACGCCGGCCTGCTGAGCCCTCAGCACACAGCTGGGAAAGGGCACCAGGCAGAGGCAGACACAGGGCTGCAGGTGCCCTGGGCCACGCCTGAGCCTGGGAAAGCTCCTGTGTGGGCTTTGCTGCCCTTTCAGGTTCCTGCCATCTGCCTCCCCAAGGAGGCTTCCTGGGAGGAGGGTGGGCTGGGGGAGCAGGTCTGCCTGGGAGTCCAGGGCTTCCCTGGGGGCCGGGAGGCCTGGGTCTCCTTTATAACCACCGAGTGCTCGTCACGGGGCCACAGCCAGGGCAGCCATCTCATTTGATCCTACAGCAAACTAAGAGCAGGCGATGTTTGCCCCATTTTACAGACGAGCAAACTGGGACCCAAGGAGGGGAAGAAACGGCTCAGGTCCTGCCCGTGGCGGAGCAGGGATCCCTGCAGGCGGACCCGTATGAGGCCCAGATGGAGGCTGGTGCTGCATTCACAAATGACGGAGCTGGAACCCACAGCCACCTTGTCCCCACTGGCTGGAGGTCGGCATCCTCCACAAGGGGCTGGCCCAGCATTTCCGGGACTTGTCCTCAAGGAGGCTGGAGAGACCCGCCCATCAGAGGGAACCAGGTCATCAGAAGGATTTCTCCGTTGACACAGGTGGATTTGGTGGATTTGCTGTCCTTTAGAGACCTGCCAGCTCCTCCAGGCCAGGCATAGTGGGGGCAGGGCTGGACAGTGACCCTGGGGAGACTCTCCCTTGGGGGACCGCGGTTTCATTGAGGGAGTCCTAGATTCCCCCAAGGATGGTTTAGAGCTGTGGTTCTCAATTAGGGCTGATGGTGCCCCCAGGGCACAGTTGGCCGTGTCTGGAGACATTTTGGGCTGTCACGACTGGGCACACACTACTGGCATCAGGTGGGTAGAGGCGGGGATGCTACCCACCAGCCCACAGTGCACTGATAGTCCCCTACACAGACACTCAACAAAGAATTATCTCACCCCAAACTCCTGTTGGCCAAGGTGAGACCCATGGAAGTTGCCTTGGTCTGCCCTGCACCCCTCTTCCTGAGGGGAGTACCTCTCCCTCTCACCCAACGTGAGTCTGGTGGGGGTACCTGAGCGGGGTCCATCTCCCCAGAGCTCTAAGCCTTAGAGACGGGGGCCTGTGAGCCCCCACCCTGACCTCCCACCATGCCTTTGGGCCTGGAGCTTCCCTCTGAGCTCCTTCCTCTCTTGTCCTGGTCCCCATCGCTCTGGGTTCTCCAGCTAAGGAGGGGTTCTGTGATATTT